TTTTAATTATATTGAGATTGACTGTTGTTCTCCAAATCTTCTCTAATTCCCCCAAGATATTTATTTGCAGACCGAGTTTTCAGTCTGTGAAAGCAGCAGCCATTTCTGATCTTTATTTACTCACTGAAAACACAAATGGCAGCGGTGGTTTTCTGGCTTGGTGCCACGAGAGGCAGCATGGGGGGATGGGGCCCCATCACGCTTTGATCCGAGAAGCGGAGCAATCCAAGCGAGGTAGAAAACATAGACAATGCGCAAAGGCAGCCGTTCGGGTAGGTGATAGGCTTAGACTACCCAAATCAAAGATTTCTAGGTAAAGATGCTCAATTTCTGCTACCTGAAGTCCAGTTTATGTTTTTTTTGTTTTTGTTTTTGTTTAATCCAAGGGATTTTGGTTTGTTTCCAAGGAGAAAAAACTGTGTCTGGCTGTGACCAAAGGACAGTCCTACGGCAGCTTGAAGTCAGCACATTTCCAAGATTATCATTGCGACTTCTCACCGAGCACAAGAATCCCTTCTGAAACACTTGACAGCCTAAGTGGTCATCTGAGTTAGCATCCTCCATTCTGAAATTTGTCTTCCCCTGAATCAACACATCGTCTCCAATAGTTTTCACATATGGGAGGATCCATGCTGAAAAAAAATAATTCCCACCTTTACAGGGAAATTCTGTTAGTATACATACTTGAAGAGTGAGCCATGTTCTCTAAACCATTCATGCTAAGTTTCTCTTAAATATTGTTAATGTATTATGGCTTCCAGGTCCTTGTTACTCTGATTGTCTTCTTTTGGATGCTGAGTCTGAAAGCCCTTCTGTAGTGAGGTATAACACATAAAACACAACGATTCCAGCATGATCTTGTTCATGGAGTATCAAGGCAAAACTACATGCTGCCTGGGTGGCCACCTCACCTGTCTGCTACTGTCTTCACAGAGTTTTCCTCTGAGGATACTAGACCGCTCTAGATTTATTTTCATATCTCCCATCTTTCATGTATGAACAGGAAAGCCTGCTTAGCTGAAGGCTTGGTTATCTCACGTGAGTCTATTTGGCTTAGTATTTCTGAGCTATTTCCATTTGTTGTTTAAGAATTTGCATTTTATAAAGTACTTCTGCTGTAACCGCCGGAGAAAGGCAAGGTGGAGGTTGTTAACCCCATTTCATAAACGAGGAAACTAGACTTACAGAGGTAAAGACATTGGGGCCACACGGTGCGTACTGATGGCGCATTCCAACAGTTTTCTGGCTGAATGTCCAGGCTGCTTTGCACTACACAGCTGGTTTTCCTTAGCACATAATTGGGTTGAGAGGGAAAACAATTCCTGTGTCAACTGAGTAGGCTTTGGTTCTTCCACTCTGTCACATTTAGTGTCCCTTTGGGGTTCTTCCTCTGCTGTTATTTGTTCGAACAAGCAGGTTATAGGAACCCCAGCATTGGTATGAGGGTGCGAAACGCAATTATTTACCCACAGTTACGAGCTGGATAGAAAAGGTGACTTTCTGAAATGTAAGATAAAACTTGAATTTGAATTATTTACATTGTACTGATTTGTAATTTTTGCTCCAACTACTTCTAGTAGCTTAACCGGAAGTTCCTTTTTAAAAAGTTCTTAAGGAGAGGACCCTGTAATAAAGAAATACCTGTGCCTAAAAATCTGAGCCAGAATGGCTTTCAGTTTTCTGATGTCCAAGACTAAAAACTGAAACATAATAGGTTCCCTAAATCTCCTTTTCTTATAAAAGGAAAGTAACAATTAGTGAGAAGTAGTACCAACACCAGCTGGGATCTATCACTTTCAGCCTTAGGTAAACATTCTGAGCAGCATAACAATTTAGGGCTTCAGTCATGGTTTCTGCACTGTTAAGGTTTCATTCAGGAGTCTGGTGTGTTGTGAAAACTTGTGCTTTACAGCTGCTCCCTAGATGCTTCTAGTGATCAAGCAGATTAGTGACCTACTGACTTAGCACAGCACCCTGAGGGTGCTTTGTAAAAATGCAGATTTCTGCCTCTGTCCCAGAGGTTCATGTGCCAGAGTCTTAGTCTGAGTGGACTTTTGATCAGAGCAGCAGCTGGGTAATTTGTAAATGGGGCCGTCAGGTGAGGTCAAGAAGGTTCTCCTCCGGGCATGATGTTTTCATCTGACAGATCAGTCCTGCTTTTCCTTCTCCTCGGGGGGCAGTTGGGGATACCTAGATGCATGGCTCAGCATGTCTTATTTAGGTACAGTTTGGGTTCTGATCTGTTGCTTAGGGCATTTCCAGCCTAAAGATTGGAAATAGTCCACAAGGAAAAAGTGAAGCATTTCCAGGAAGATTTTAGAGGAGGGTCTTGTCAAATATGTGGCTATTGACAGAGTGGGGTCTGGTGCTTTGCAGGACTGCAGTTACGCAGTACAAATCAGTGCCCTTCTGCAGAACTCAATAACTTCACCTGTTAGAGCTATTTAACACTGCACGTGGGAATGCCGAACAATGTCTGCACGTTAGAATTAACATCAGTCTTCGACATGTTAAATATGATTCTGGTAGCTCCGCTCAAAAGCTTCGCTAGGGTACCGTTTTATTGTCTGCTGTCTTGAAGACTTAAATCTCCTTTTCTGCCTTCAATTCATAGGATGAAAACATGTGAAACGCTGGGATTTATATAGGCAGATTTGGCAGCTCTTCCACTTTTTTACTGGGACTGTCAGATGTAAATCAACATTACAGCACTCTTTCCAAGAATGTGTTGAATGTACATGTGTTTGGGGAGCAGACATGGTATTTCTATTATAATTTGTTTGTTAGGTGTGATCTGAATTGTTTAGCTTTGTTTTATAACATTCATGTTGTGGTTACTTAATTGGTTCTCTTCTGTTGTCCCTAGCAGTAACTGTCAGGTTCTTTTTTTGTCTTGTGTGTTTTCTCTGGCTCACCCCACTCTGGCCCATCTTATAAGACCCAACTGTGGTAACGTTTTCTCCGGAAAACCTTTATTGATATCCCTATACCCACTGTTTCTTAAACTTCCTTAAAATTTGTGTTGGAACCATGACACTTGACATTTTATTGTACACTTTCCAGCTTTAAGCTTTTTGACCATTCAACCTACTGTTATATTTTAGATTGTTCCATTAGCCACCTGGTTCATGTATTATTTTCCCAGTTAGACTTGGAGATATTTGTAGACAGAGTCCACATTTCACATACCAGTTTTATTCCACTTCCTTGATACCTATGTCTAGGGCTAGGCAATGTCAGTGTTTACTATATGACTGAATATTTTACTCTATGATTAGCACAGTTTGTAAAAACTTTTATTTACAAAATTAATTTAAGTTACAGTAAGAATCATTTGATTATAAACTCCATGAAAGCAAGAACCATGTCTATCTTATTTAGGGGTACATTTCCAGTGCCTAGAAGAGTTGTCGAATTAATTTGAATTATTCTTTTGTGTAAACCCAATCTCATCTGAACACATCTCACACAAATCTTATCTGTAGACCTAGAAAGCAGGGTATTTATTTGTAGCAAGGGAAAAGTTTCTGGAATTTGAGATGAGATAGGACATAATTTTTCCTTTATGCTATCTAAGCCCATTTCTTCTTCCTGGCAAAACTTTAAAGGGGAAGATTTTCTTTCTAGAAGAAACACCTAATAATCATTTGTTTTATTTTAGACATCTCTAATCATTCAAAATTGTTTTCACCCACCAAAGAATTTTTAAATACTTTTATATTCTCCTAGTATCCAGAATCTGATATGAAAAGTTCCAACCCACATAGATTTTTATTTATCAAGTAATATAAACTCCATTTCTTATTAAACGTATACTAAATATGGAGGAAAGATTCCAAAGCAGTGAGAACAGAGCAATGTCATTATGTAAAAATCTTGTCCTTCAAAGTTACTGGAGGAAAAAGCCGAGACAGACTTTCAAACCCTCCATTCTTGAGTTTTTATGTTAGACGTGTAGGTTTATTATAAGGAAATGTGGGGATGTCCCTTCCTCAACTGCTCATCACCCCTGCTTCTATTTCTTCAATAGACATTTCCCACTCAGTCCTAAGAAAGAGTCCAAGAGAACAGCTAGAGAACAGTGGCCCTTCATTCTCTGTTTGTTTGGCTCACTTTACTTTCCAACAAGGAGGACTTGGATAGGTCAGCCTGCCAACACCGCCTCAGTAAGGCGTTCCCTCAGGGGCAGGTGATCTGTATGAGTTCAAAGGGCACTGTCTTTGTTCCAGTCCTCTGTGATGAAGGTAGCTGATTTAATCTGCAGTGTATTGATAAGGAAATAAGCAAAAGCAGGAGAATTGCTTAGGGTTGCTTCCCTTGGAAGGAGCTTGGCTTGAGGCTTTGTGGGTTGTTCTTCTCTCCATCCAGCCTAAGACGTAGGAAAGGTTTGGGAACAAATTGAGAGCACTGAGAATGGCAGGATTTAAGAGGAACAAGAACGATGTGCTGGGAGGAGGTTAGGGCAGATGGTAGGCAGAAGTTCTTGCACGGTAGCTTTGGCAATAATTCAGGAAATGATGGGATCTCATCGAGGACATCTAGAAACTAGGAAGAGGTATTTTCTTTATTGACTTATGGCAGAAATAGAACCAATGGGGTAGAAAACGCTGGGAGTCAGATTTAGGTTCAGTGCAAGGCATTACCTAGAATTGAATCAGTCAAAAATGACCTTACTGTCTCAGGGAATTACTCCTAGACTGTTGGGCACATGCTAATAGATACTTGTTAGGGTTTCAAGGGACAAGATTCACCCTAAAAATACAGATATACAGTATTGAAGAGTTGGTCTTTTTCTTTGGTTTCTACTGCAAAGTCTTCACAAATGACTATGACAAAAGCTGGGATAGACCTTCCTTTTCAGGATATCAATTTTTTTTTCTTTTTCCTTTTTCCTTTTCTCTGTCTCTGTCTCTGTCTCTCTCTTTCTTTCTTTCTTTCTTTCTTTCTTTCTTTCTTTCTGTCTTTCTGTCTTTCTGTCTTTCCTTCTTTTCTTTCTCCAGGAATGGAGCTAACAACCTTGCACTTGCTGGGCAGGCTCAGTGCCACTGAGCTATATTCCTGATGCAAGACCTCAATTTTCATCCTTTGAAGACCAGAAGACTGAGCCAATTTTCTCAATTTTCTTGAGAAAGAAATTGTAATGGTTGATACATTGTGTCAAGTTGAGAAGCTTGGAAATTTAACTAAGAGACTGAGCAGGGAGCCAGGATCCTTACTGTGTAAACATCCTCAGCCTGTGCAAGAGGAGGACAAGGAGTTTTTGTGAGTGCTACACCCACTCTGGAGTTGGGATGGCCTGCGTAGAATATGAGGGAAGAAAGGATGCTCACGCACCCCTTTCTGCTCTTGTTGCTTTGCTGACTTCTGCCACCTTGAATGGTGCCCCTGTGCCATGCCACACTGTGTTGGAGCTAGCTGAGTATGGACTGAAACCTCTATGAACTGTGATCTAAATAAACCTTTGTTTCCTTCATTTTGGGTGTCAGGTATTGTATCCCAGCAATGAAGAAAAGTAACCAAGACTGAAACTGATACCAGAGAGGTGGGGACAGGGCTGTGACTGTACCAGACAAGAGGTTCAAGAGGCTTTGGGAATGGCTTGTGGGAAGAGCTTGGAAGAGTTCCCAGATGTCGCCTGTAGAAGTAGCACTGGAATGCCTGAGGCTGTTCTGCACGGGAGACTATGGTCAGAGCTCAGAAGACTAGAAGGCCAATAGAAATCCTTCTTGTAAAGATCAGGCACAGGAGCTTTCTGCTGGGAAGGACTGCATTGGTTATGGACTCCAGACAATGTGTGTTACGGCTTAGTAGAAAGTTTGCATTTTGCTCTTGCCCAGAGACTTTGCCTGAGACTAAGATTATAGGGGACAAATAATCTAGCAGAAGAAATTTCAAGGCAGTCAAATGTTGAGGCATGGCTACTGTTGGGGGGCTTTTAGCCAGATTCATGTTCTGAATCAAGAACAAAGAGCCCAGCAGGATAATTTAAAACATGGTGAGTTTGGCCAGAAAGAAAGCTCCAATAAAGCTGTGAACTGCAAAAGAAGAGCCGAGAAAATCTTGATTGTTGAGAAAGACCAGTAGAACATTAAAGATGGTCTGAAGGCATCACAAAAAGTGGCAAGTCTTGAACCTGTGCAGCCTCAAAACTACAAAAGTGAACTATGTTGCTTTGAGGTGAAAGCCACAGAACACAATGTTCCAGAATGTCAGTGGCCATGCCGTGCTCCAGAATGGCAACAGAATAGAAAATTCATTCCTCAGAACTGGATTCAGAGTGCCCAGTGATCCTTGCACCCAATCCCTACAGCCAAGAGAGAGGAAAGCCTGGCTACGGCTCCAACTAGCAACAGACCTCAGCATCATCCATGTAGTGCTGGTTTTAGGTGCATACAGAATGCAAGAGTTCTGAGGTTAAAAAGGCTTCCACCCCTGAGAGAATATTGTGTGAAGTTGTGAGTGTGAAGTCACCAGACACCAGTGGAGACACCAGAAGTTTGGAAAATCCAGGAACATGAATCAGCTAAGGAAATCTGTAAGAAAGGAGCAAAGCCATCCTAAGGGAGAAGCCATGAGAGCTATAACCACCAGAAGTGCCATAGAGGTGGAGTCACCCAAGCCCTTTGGAGATTGCAGTTTGCCATAAATTGCCTCAAATGATGTACATGGAGTTACAGGACTTAATGTTTACCCTGCTGGATTTTGGAATTGCTTTGGTCCCCTTCCTTTGTATCCCCATTTATACCCTTTGGAATGGTAATGTTTATCTTGTGCCACTGAACATTGGAAGTGCTTAACTTTGTTTTCTTTTATAGAGGGTCTTGCAGCTAAGAGTTTGTCTTACATCTCAGAAGAGACTTGGGTCATAAACTTTTCAGCGATACTGAAACTGCTAGGATGTTGGCAACTCTTACAGGTAGACTAAATACCTTTTTCATAAAGGGATGTACATGAGTCTTTCAGGGGGGTAACCAAAGGAAGAATGTTAAGATTCTAATGTAATATAATGTCGATAGACTTAATGCTGGTTCTTAAAGATTGTTAAACCTGTATTCCTGTATTATAATGTTCAAGTTGTGAAATGGTAAGAATAAGCATGTCTTTGTATATGGAGGTTGGTTTAAAGAAATATGTCTGGTTGCCAAGTTGACAAAAGGTGGATTTTTATGGCTGATACATTGTGTCAACTTGAGAAGTTTAGAATTTTAACTAAAAGATTCATCCCGGAGCAGGGATCCTTGCTTTGTAAACATCCTCATCTTAAGCAAGAGGAGGGCAAGGAAATTTTGTGAGTGCTACACCCACCCTGGTTGAGGGATGTCCTCTGTTGAATGTAAGGGAGGAAAAGCCGTGCCCCTTTTGCTCTGTTGCTTTGCTCTCTTCTGCCCTGGAAGTGTTGCCTCTGTGCCATGCCACTCTGCCTTGGAACCAGCTGATTATAGACTGAAACCTCCACAAACTGCAAGCTAAATAAACCTTTTCTTCCTTCATTTTGGGTGTTGGGTATTTTGTCCTAGCAACAAGGGAAAAGTAACCAGGTCATTAACCTAGTTTTGTATTCCTTTTACTAAGAGCACATCTAGATGATGTATCAGGTACCTTAATTTGTGTCTAGGAAAAAGAGAATGTTCAGCCTTGAGTCTCATGATCTCAAATGTGTGTATCAAAGGTCTTAGAGATTTTCTTTCCTGCTTCACAGTCTAGCCTAGCCTGTGTGCCTTTGGAACATTCAAAGCTCAAAAGCAGAGCAGGACAATTTGAAAAATTTGAATTTTGTCCCAAAAGGAACCATGTGTAAATTTGGGGCCAAAGGAGATGTAGCTGCTGGAGATTAGCACCTTCAATAAGGAACCAAGTACTTTGTATAAGGACAAGAAGAAAGATATCTTGATGGCATTTTAAAAATCAGCTGACCCTATCTACCATAGGCTCAACAGTGTAGAAGTAAAAACTTTACATTTGAGAGAGAGGCCTTATTAGAAAGATCTCTAAGGAATTGGTTCTCCAGAATTCATTTTGCCACGCTCTGCTACTCACATACAGAGAATGCTGCTGCTGTGGTCTAATGGGGGCACAGTTACTGCTGTAATGAATGCAGGGGTTGTAGGGTCAGGGAGGCCTCCACCTGGATTTCAAAGGAATGCCTGAGAGGTTAGACAAGATGTTCCTAAGAAGGCAGTGTATGAAGCTGTGAAACCAAAAGTATAGTGAGACCCCAGAACATCAGAGATGCCAGGAATATGGAAAATCTACTAAGTAAAGCTGGTCAGGCCAGCCCAAAAGAGAGGCCACATGAGCTACAAAGAGCAGGCCAACTGAGGTGGGACCTCAAACCTTTCACATCTCTCTATCATATGCTCCATATTACTGCCCTGATAATGTTTTCTATCCCCTCATCCCTTCCTTTTGGAATGGAAATTTTTTGCCCTGTGCCATTTGCCCCTTGGGATTATATAACTTATTTTTAATTTTTATAGGGATTCACAGATAAGAGTTTTCCTTGAGTCTCAGAAGACTCTTAAACTTTTTGAAAACTGCTGGAACTGTTGAGACTTCAAGAAAGAGGTTCTTCTATTTCTAGCTGTATGCAGGATAGTTGTATTGCATTAGGCAGAATTATGAACTTGCTATTATCTTTATTTGAAGATTAAAAAGGATTTAAGAGATGTATTTGGGTTACGAACTGACAAGGGTCTTATGCATGGGTGATTTTGGTAGAATGTCAATTTGATTGGCTTTGGGGTCCACTTGAAAGATGGGTGGAGCACACTTCTGAGTGTGTTTGGGCAGATCATGGAAGTGTGGCATTTGGGTTCTGTGTCTGACCCCCTCAACCCTCCTTCTCGGGTACTGTTCCCTATTTCCTTGCTCCTCTTCTCTGTTACTATGAATTAAAGATTACTCCCTTATACCCTTTGGCTGTGATGTTTCTGCTTGAGATCCAGATAACCATGAACTGAACCCTCCACCAAACCAGGAGCCAAATTAAACCTCTCCTCCCTTAAGTTGTGTATTATGTTTCAATGATGAGGAAGCTGACTACTGCACATTTTTACTACATCTTCACATGAGTACCTTTGGTTTATGTATGTTGTCTATGGCCTGATTTCCTGTGTCATTTGCGTCTTTATAAAACATCAGTCTTATTGGGCTAGGATCCACTCATATGACCTCATTTTACCTTAATACCTCTTTAGAGACTTTATATTTAGTCATATTCTGAGGTCTTGAGTGTTAGAACATCATTATATGCATGAGGTAACATTGCAGCACATACTGAGCAATAAATTTTGACTTAGTGGCTGATATAATAATGCTGAAAATAAGATACAGTATCAAGGAAAATCAATATGACTTAACTGCTGTCTGATGTTATGATAATGTTAACTTCAAATTGTGTGACCACAAATATGACACAGTATATGTTCTTCTAGTCAGTGTCCATTGAGGTGATCCGTGTCTCTAAATTATGAGCAATGTCTAAGGCCACTACATGCCAGTGACCAGTTAGCTCCAGGCAGGTGCATGTTCACCCAGCAACCATGTGGGTCTGTCACAAATGTGAAAATGCCAGTTATATTTATTATTATAATTGTAATAGTTAATTATATATTATGTTAATCAATGAAATACAAGTACAAAAACGAGTTATTTCTATGAACACTAAGGGAATGTTTTAGAAATACTTGATAATAGCAAGCCACTAAAATAACCAGATTGGAACAGACATCCAAATTCTGACACTTCCTCTTACTAGGTGGTCATTTTGGACATGTTACTTTTTCCCTAGAGTGCAGCAACTTGATGGTTGAAATCAAAGATTCAGTCTGCTATAAAAAACACTAGGATTCAAACCTAGATAGCTTCACAAATATCTTTAAATTCGTAGCTTATCTCCTGAGCCACAAACTTTTAAGAGAACTATATTAAATTCATTTTTCTCACAATGTCTAATGAATATCACAATGTCTGTGACAGATAATTATCTAGTGAAATATATCTAGTAACATTTTTGGTGCATTTCCTTCTAGTGTCTTTTATATTTGTAATATATGCTATATGTAATATATGTATGATTTGTCATATATGCTATATATAATATATGTATGATTTGTAATATATGCTATATATAATATATATGATTTGTAATATATGCTATATTTAATATATATGATACGCAATAAATGCTATATATGCATGCTATATACATAGGATAAATGTACATATAAATTTTCAGGGTACATCTTATTAATTTTTTGCTTCTTTGCTTTTTAAGTTACTCTGATCATATCCCAAAGATTTTCCCAACTTAGTAGAAATTCTTTAGAAGTTCTTGTTTTGAAATTACAACTGGCACTCTGAGAATTTTGCTCAGTGTATCACGTATTTCCTTACACTTAAACATTCTGATACAACCTGGGGGTAGCTAAAAGTATGGTGTGCCCATCCATGATAATCCTTTGCAGGCACTGAAAAGACATTATAGTTGCTACTTGTTGGCTAGAACTGCCTACAGAAATCAAATTGTTGGCCTGGAAATGTAGCTCAGAGATACAGCGCCTGCCTGGCAAGGTCCCAAGTTAAACTCCTGATACCAAATACCTGATTAAGTTCCTGATTCCAAAATAGGAAGGTCGGTATCTGAGACCAGGATGCTAAGTAATTCTTCCTGGAATGATTCTCTTTAGGTTAGGTTCACTGATGGATTGACAGGCCCCAGAAACTCCGCATGCCACAAGTGTCTCTCTCTAAATGATGGAAGAGCCTCTTCATCCCCCAACTGCAAACTTTGGTTCTCCTTTGAGTATCCCGCCATTTACACGTGGAGAAGTCCTGCCACTGCCTTGTCTGAAAATTCTCTTGAATCTGGTTCTGTTTTCACTAACTGTGGCCCTGCCATTGCTCAGGCTCTTCCCTAGGATCACTCACTCCTCTGATTCTTTCTCTACCTTTCAGCACTGATTTAAAAGTTTTGCTTGTTTATTTTGTGTTCAAAAACTTTTTGAGACCTTTTCTTGCCACAGAATAGAGTTCTCACTTTTTTTTTTATTATTACATCATTTAGAGCACTTTATTCCAACCTACATGTCCAATCATTTTTTCTGGTACAAAATATTTTACCACGCAGCATTCCTCATTTGCCAACCAACTTAAGTTCCTGAGACTACATCATTAAGCGAATTGGTCGCTCAGTGAGGAATTGTGTGTGATACACACATTATGATATTCAGAAAAAAGAAATGGTCAGAGGACACTCTAACTTGGTAACACTGCTTTTATTTGCTTAACTCTTACATGCAGTACTGTAACGGATAACAGCATAAAATAACAGTACTATACAGTATAATAAAAAATTAACAAAGTGTGCCATACAAGAAGACACAGAAGTTCTAAAAACAAGATACACAAAACCATAAAAAATAAAAAGACAGGTCATAAGTCCAAGTGGTGCATCATAAGTTCAAACATCATGCTTTAGTGCTAAGTCTGAGCAGTCGTTAAACAGGAAGGTTGTTAATCAAGTAATATCTGTGCTTTTAGAAAAAATATTTTCTTCTTTACAGGCAGATAGGGTCCAAACTCTGGCCCTGGCCTTTTCAGCTTGTAGCTTTGTACAGGACTTTTCCCCTGCTAGCTGTAACATGAAGGTTTAGCACTCCTGCACCTGGCTTCACATCTTACCAAGGCTTGGGGTAAATGAACACGAATTCTCTAAACCTCAGCCTTCCCATCTTGAAAATGGGCTTTGCCCCTGTGAAACGGAATTGTTAGTAAATGAACTAATTCATATAGAGTTCTTAGAATAGCAACTAACATGTAGTAAGTGCTGGCTATGTAGGTGTTTATTATGTCTGCATGAAAGCTGGTTTCCACACAGGTAAAATGGGGAGAGTATTCTCAAGTGGAGGTTTTAATTTAAAAATCATTGATATTTCCATTTATATATAAGGTCACCTGTTCAAAAAAAATCTACCTAGAAAAATCTAGGGTAGATCAGATGTTCAGTTCTCCACACCATCCAGACGCCAATTTACAATTCATTTTCCCCTAGGGAGTTTACAGAGCTCAGTGGTACAGTGGTACAGTGCCAGTCACTCTTTGTTGTAATTTTATGATTATATGTATATATACAAATATACTCTTTCCACATATAGAATACACGTGTGAATGGGAAAGTAGTCTCTACACAAATCTGCTTGTGTTTGCATGCATATTCTAAACTGTTAGTTTCTTCCTGAGGGAGGGGTCTGTATCTTGTTAATTTCTACGTTGCTAACGTGACCCGGTCCCAGGCATGGTGTAGGTAACTATTATGAATGTATGTGCACTCTCAAGACATAAAACATATGTCTAAGTCTTAGTCCTGCTTCTTATTTGGTCTAGGCAAATGACATAGAACACTGTCATACTCTTTCCAGTGACATTACCTCTTCATAGGTAGACTGAGGAACCGAGAGGGTGATTGAACACAGAGTGTAGCAACTTGACC